AAAAAAGTAAATCATAAGCAAATTTATAGCAATTTTCTAGGCAAATTTGCCTGGAATTGTCTACAGTTTAAGGGATAGTATAATAATATATAATGAAAATTGATGTACAACTCATTATTATTATAGTGAAGTTATTAGACTAAGAAAATCTTCAATATAGCTTATTTTAAGAGAATACTATATATAGTTTACTATATTAAACTAAAATTTAATAATTCTGTAACTAAAATTTTTACTGAGTCAAATTTTCACTATATTAAAAGTTTATTATAATAAAAGTGAGTTGTAATAATTTAATAATAATTATATTATAAAAATAAATTTAAATAAATTAATAAATATATTTTTTTATATTAATTTTGATAACAAAAATTTTAAATTAATTTTTTTTTTAAAATAATTCGGCAATCTTGCCTCTATTTTATTAGGCTTGAAAATATTATATTAAGAAATATTACAAATTTTTAAAAATGAGTTACTAAAGGTCAAGTTTTTATGATGCCTAAATTACAAGTATTAGCTCACCTGGCTCTTTGTAACTGAAGTTCAAATTATCTATGTGCAATCTGCTACAGGCGGAATTTTCTATAATATTCACTTCTGCACTTAAAAAAAAATAAAACTTCACTAGAAGACTTCTACCAGCCCATCAATACTACCTATTCTTTCTTTAAAACTTTTTCTATCTAGATTTGGGCAGAATAGTTAGTCTCTTACTTTTCTATAAGAAAAAAATATATGCCATATTTATGAAAGAAAAAAAACTATATCTAGAAAAAGAAACAAAAAAACAGAAAAAAAAAGAAAAAAGACATAACTAAAAAAAAATAAATAAATCCTAAACAGAATTCTAATATAATAGAAAAAAGATAAAAAAAGCAAAAAAGAGAATAGAATAGTCCTGATGAATGCACCCAAAGAAAGAAAAAGAAAATATATTATTATAACCTGTGTCAAGTAAATATAAAAATTATATAACAAATACAATATTTGTATATCCCTGTTGTAAAGCTTCGCCTTAACGTTCAATTCTTCTTTCTGACTTTCTGATCAACTCTGAATAACTACATTGTGCCCATTCTAATTCATATCTTAAGCCAGGTGTTACCGCCATCTGTAGATTCATATTTCAAGCCACCTGCTGTCATTATTAGGAGTTCTATACTGGGGCTCAATTCTAATGCGCTGTATCTATAAAACACATATTGCAATTCATTAGGTTGTCCAAATTTAGAAAGTAAACAATATTAATCTTTTGGAGGGGATAAGCCAAATTTCCCACTTTTTGAAAAAAATTGGAAGACTAATAGAGAAGCGAGATTGAGTAAAGAGGAGAACCACTTATCTAAGTAAAAGAGTGTGACTTGGAAAAACTAAAATTTTGTTGTATTCCCTGTGTTTTTTTGTTAATAGTCAAGTAGTTTCATCAATGAAGTTGGGCTTTGCCCATACTCCACCAAGATTTTATTTACAAGGGCGCCACCTTCAGGTTTATTGTTACCTTACTAGTTAACTTGTATAGTAATGTTTTTGGCTTGCATGCCAAACATCTTTTAGAGAAGTCTCACAGAGTAAATGTTGACCTCTAGACAAACCACTATATCAACCATGACCCTTTAACAAAAATTTGTTTTTCTGTTAGTAAAAATTTTTGGTTTAAATAATTATCAGAAAGAGTGGTTAAAAATTTTAAATTTATTATTATTGTTAATTTTTTATTTTTATTTTATTTTTAATTATTTTTTAATAATATTATTTTTTAGATTCTAAATATGGTTTCAAGACAAGATTCTAGTATTAGTTGATTCATTTCAAGCAAATAGTAAAACAAGTGCTTTGGATATTGTTGATTCATCACAAAATTTAGATAAAGAACCAATTTTGAATAGTACTTCAAGTGCTACTAATTCAAGATCTCTAGCTGATCCACATTTTAAATATATTAATTTGAGATAGCAATGCAATATTGCTCGTAAATTATTTACTTATTATTATAAATATATTTGTTTTTTTATTTAAAATATAATTATTTAAATATTAATATATTTGATTTATATATAGTACATCTTATACAAAAAAATATACACAATATTTTTGAAGTACTTAAGAATTAAACATATAGAAAAACTTAAAAGCTCACCAAATTATAATGACAAAGTATATCTAAATTTTTAAATTATATTATAACTAAATTAAATTTATTTAATAATATTATTTTTATTTTTTAGTTTACAGCTGATGAATTTAAAAAAATTATTAAAATGAATTGTATCTGATAAATAAGCATTTACAGCACTTGAAGATCCTAAATTTCAAGATATTTATTTTCATCAGCTGATACAATTAGAAATAATTTAAATAAGCACAACAACAAATTAAACAAAAATTACAAGTAATTTATTATTAATTTTAAATTAATTTTTAATTATAATATAATTAATATAATTTATTTTTGTAAAATATTTCTAGTTCACTTTTATTTACTATTGATTGTTAGACTAGTAAAAATTAGTTACTATTTCTTGGTATTAATATTCATGGATTAATAATAAATAGATTTCACAATCACTGGTTTTGGATTTTTGCTATTTACCTGGCTCACATACTGGTAAAAACATAGCAACAAAATTTTTAAAAATTTTAAATAATTTTAATATTAGGCTACACAAAGTTAATTTCTTGGTTTTCATAACATAAAATTTTAAAAGTGACCGGCAACCTGGCTTTTTATTTTAAATTATAAAAAATTTCATATGATTTTTTTTAGATAAAAATATAAAAACAAATAAAATTTTTTAAAATTTTTTTAAAAAAAACTGACCCGGAGATTTTATAATAAATTACATATGAAATTTTTTTCAAAGATCTATAAATTTTGACTCGGCCGGGTTATATAAACCAAGAAATTAACTTTGTGTGGCCTAATATTTTAACTCCTATAGTGCTTCTATGGGCTAGACCTGAACCAGACTTTAGTCAAGTCTGGATCTGGTCTGATTTTCAGATTGGACTTAGACTTTTATATTCAAACTTTTTAGTCAAGTTTGAGTTTAGTTTGGGTCTGGTCCAAAGTCTGCAGACTAGTCTGAGTTCGAACATATTTATATATATTTTTTGAACCTGGGTATATTTAAAAATTTTTTTGTATTATAATATAGTTTATGATTTATGTGTCTTGTATATATTTATCAATTGGTTTTAATTTAATCAATTTTTGATTTCATTATAAACCACTTGATTTATTTATCTAACTAATGAATTATTTCAACAATTTCTATTGCAATAGGTTATTTATCAAAATTTTTATCCATATGTTTCATTAGCTAATTTAATATAAAAATCTAAGCCCAAACATTTAGGTCTTAATTCATTACAATCTTTGATCATTAAATTGAATTCAATTATCTATTTAAAATTTCTGTCATGATAACTTCAAGACTGTAAATATCTTATACTTTGGTATATGGTTGATTCACCAAAATATTAAGTGCTATATATGGCAAAAATTCCACATATTTTTTCTTCTTTACTCTTTTAAAAAGTCCAAGATCTGTGACAAGTACATTTTGCAAACAAGCTTGCAAAATATTTCTGTTGTGTAAATCTCTGTGAACAAGTTTCTGTTAATAAATCAACATAAGTTCCAAAGCTATATAGTAATGTTTTGAAGTGCCAAAAATCTCCACCTATTGTATTAGTATTAGTATTATCAAATTTTTGATTGTAATTTGTTTTTTAAATATAATATATCCAAAAAACAATATAGGCAACTAAAACAACAATTAGATGTTTTAACTTTTAGAAAAAATTAATGAAATACTAATTCATAAATCTGTATTACAAGCCTATTTAATTGAAAAGCTACAATATTCAATTTATCTTTCTATTCTAATTGTGATACTCATACAAGATTTTTTCATAACAAACCTTCTATTACAAACTTTATTACAATAATATAATCACATGATCGTTTCTTAACACTCCTAAACAGTTCAGGTACAAAGGATTCTTGTGACCAATTTGCACATTTTTGTTTGAATCATAAATCACTTTAAGTGTAATATCCCACCACATATTATTAATTCTATCAAACCGACATGTCTAATATACAGTTACTTTCCTCTATAATTCTTAGTTTATTATAATCAATCCAAGATAATTTAAACCTCTTATCATCTAATATTCTCTTAACTTCTGATCTGGTGATTAATTAGTTTTACGAAGACTTCTATATTTGTGAACTAGTAATTTGCTTTTTAAATATAAAAAATAATGAGTATTAATAATGAACAATAATAATCTAAATTATAGTTTACTTGTATAGACATTCAAATATTGGTGAATAGAATATAATAAGTCTTTTATCTACCTGATTTTTTGAAATCAGAGGGACTTAAAACTTGGTATAAGATCTAAAACTTAATTAGTAATGTTCAAATATATTTAAAAAAAATCTATTTACTCTCTTTGTTTTGATAAGATTGACTATACATCGCTAATTTATAACTTATATTAGCAAATTTTATAGTTTTTGAATACTTTATTATGATTTTAACAAACTTACCAATATTATCAATAGGAGAATTAAATAAGTACAAATCTGCAAAAACCCGCGAAAATGCAGATTTTTGCAAAGTTTTTTGCAAAAAACTGCAAAATTTTTTATATTTTGAAATTTTGCAAAAAACTGTATTTTAATTTCCGTAGCTATAGCTGGTGAGTTTGAAGTTTTGCACAGATTTTCATTTAATTTATTATTTAATTTTTTTGCAAATCTGTGCAAAACAGCAGTAAAAATTTTTTTCTGATGATATATATATTGCAGCTCCAATTCCAATCCAAAAAAACCAATATTATTTATCGCTGCCAAATCACCTAACTCAGTAACCAAAGATCACGAAGTTCAGAGCATAGTAGTGTTTAGCTAAAGTGGTACAAAAGATATAACTTATTATTATTGCAATATGTCTGGTCTGGTCTGGTATGTTTTTTTGTGACCTAATTTTACAAATCTGCTAATATAGTGAGCTAGATTATAAAAAAATATATCAGACCAGACCGGACATATTTGCAAACTTTGGAATCAGACCTGGACCAGATTCATAATTAAGTTTGAATCTGGTCTGAAGTTTAAAACTAGTAAAATTTAGAGTCTGAGTCTGGTTCGATCCTGGACCAGACTCGGACCAGACTGGACCGAATCTGAACTGGACCTAGGAGCACTAAGCAGCTATATATAATTGCTTCTAGTAAAATTTAGAGTTATGGTTAAAAAATTAAAATTTATTTTTTTTTATATAATATAATATAGAGCTAATATAAGGGCCCAATAGAGCTTGATCTTAGTTCTTATAAAGTTTTTGGGGTCCTGAATATTTTTACTTAGAAAACCTAATCTTGTTTACTTAGTATGTTTTTGAGAAATGGAACCTATAGTGTAAAATACCATAACATTTTATATACAATTTTTATAGTCTTCAAAAATTTGCATCTTATCTAACCTTTATTCTAACAATTGAAAATTATCAAAAAAACTACATAATTAAATCTAGGGTTCTACAATTTGATTTAATTCGATCTAATTTGATCAAATATTTGATTTCAAATCAAATTCAAATCAAATTCAAATTTGATTTGATCAAATTCAAATTTGATTTGATCAAATTCAAATCAGATAATTATTTGATTTGAATTTGATTATCAAATATATCAAATATTTGATTT